ACGCCATATAGCTCAATTGGTAGCGCTGTTTAAATAAAAAAAAAAATACAAATAATACAAATGTAATTAAATATATAAATTAAGTCTATCCTCATCATGACCTCTCACTTGTTCTTTAGGAACGTAAATTTGTTGCGACACACCGTGCACACGTTGTCCTGGACTCTGGCCTGAGAAACGTACCGACTCTCAGATTAAAGACAAGCCATTTAAAATCACTTATTCCAGGAGGCTATTAGGATTGAGCAAGTAGAGATTAACATCCACCAGACACAAAGGAGGAAGCGTCATATTATAATGTAGGGATACATGTTAGGAAGGCCTTCTCTTTCGCTAAGACACTCGCGTCATTCAGCCTATGGAAAGGCATATGACACTTCAGGCATGCAGCCTACATTAAGTTCTATTTTTACACTTCAAAAATGTCCAAAGTCATGCATGCATACTGCTCTGTCAGACACAAGGAAACAAAGCACCCCCCAAGACAAAGTGCCACCAACAAAACACATCATGTGAAATAATGCCGTGAAGATTGTGTCTTTGCAACCAGAGGCAATCTCCAGAACAATGTTACAGAGCTCGAAGAAGTCCTCAGGTTTTCACTTAAGTAAACGTCCGTCAAAGTATTGGCGATAAAATATACTTAAAGTACCAAAACTCAAAGTATATTATAAGAGTAACGGCCGTTTCAGAATCATATATATAAATAGTAGGGCTGTCAAACGATTACAATTTTTAAATCAGATTAATCACAGCTTAAAAATTAATTAATCATAATTAATCACCATTCGAACTATGTCCAAAATATGCCATTTATTTATGCATATTGTTGTGGGAATGGAAAGATAAATGAAAGAAGGCGGATATATCCATTTAACATATATGTTTATTATAACATTTTTCTGCGTGTCAAAATGAAAGACAACCCACACACCTATCAATCATCAAACCGTGGGGTCTTAATTCATTACGTGTTGATTTCTATCAACGGGGGAGTACTTCAGGAAAGTCGACAGAGGGGGGGCGGCTAGTGGAGTACTTCGTAACCACAGAGTGTGAACGTTGTGATCAGCTGTTTTAGCGCAGTTCTCCAGTGAAGGGGGGGGGGGGGGGGGGGGGGGGGGGGAGTCTCCCTCCGCAGCCGGTTGGCGTAGTTTTGGCACAATTCCGTTGTACAGACCGACGTTAACAGCAGCCCTGTCTGTGCACACGGAGACCGACTCTGTCGTCCGGTGATCTAACCGTCTTCTGGAAAAGCTTCACAAGTACATCGGTACGCATTTCAGATTACGCACATAACCTGCGTACCAGTTATGTGCACCCCGTACTACAGCAAAAGTATTCTCCGTCTGGACTTCCTGCAACAACACCACGCCGTTATCTTGATTCTGATTGGCCAGAAGACATTATCAAAGATGTTCTATTGAGAAGACGATCACTACGTGACAAAAGTTTACAAAACCGTTTCTAGTATTTCCAGACAAGTGGCTACTGAAATCAATCTTACTAACTGCTGTCTGTGCAATTTACTCCGCGCGAGTTGGCGGACTTTATTTTGCTTCCTTTAACATCATTTTTCATGGTGGGGCTAAGCCATTTCTTAGTATGGGTGTAGCCTACCCCAGCCATACCCTGGCGCTGCCACTGGTGGGATGTATGGGGCGGGACATTCTGCACATGCGTTAAATGCGTTAAATATTTTAACGCAATTAATTCAAAAAATGAATTACCGCTGTTAATGCGATAATTTTGACAGCACTAAAATAAATATATATATATATATAACTGGATTATGATGAATGTGTTCATCACAGCTGGTGGAGGTGCAGCTAATGTAATTAACTTGTTATACTACTGTTGGGTATGGTAACCTATAATTATATGTCAATGTGTTTATTTAGAAGTTGATTTATAGTTTATAATCTGAATCGGTAAAGTGTAGTGGAGTAAAAAGTACAATATTAGCCTAAGAAATATAGTGGATTAGAAGTACAAGTAGCATACAGTTAAAATACTCGGGTAAAGTACCTCAACATTGTACTTGAGTAAATGTACTTCATAACATCCCAACTTCCACTTCAGTTTTTAGTTGAAAAATATATTTCTGATAGATAATGAACCGTACGGGTATGCTCTGTGTTCAGTTATTATGCTCCAAATATCTGAACAAACTCAAAAGTCTTACACTGCACTGTATCTTTTATTCTTGTAATGTATACAGGTCTTCTTCCATTTTAGCTTGTTTTAATGACTGTTTTGAAATGCACTTAAATAACGTGTCTTGATACACACATGAACTTGCCTTACCTTCAGAATCAACACAGAAATGGATCCCAATAGATGGGATTTCTGACATTTTCCTAAAACAGGTTTCCCACAAATCACAGCATCTGTAAAACAGGCCACCCCCTACTCCATTTCAATTCTCAAAGACACTTGCATCACCAGGGATTCCTCCTCCTCCTTTGTTGTTGTCCCCAGCAGCTATGCTCTTCCCAGGCCACGTTGATCATATGCAGCGTGGTCCTGAATAATTCATGTCCATTCTTCACCTGGCAGGCGGCCACACACACACACACACACACACACAACAACACACACACACACAAACATGAGGAACAACACACACACACACACACCACATTACACGAAAAACACCACACACGAAACACATCAACACACACACACACACACACAATACACCCCAACACCACACACACACCACGCACACACACACACACACACACAACACTACAACACCACACAGCAACAGCACACACCAAACACAACACATACACACACTACACAACAACACACACACACACACACACACACACACACACACACACACACACACACACACACACACACACACACACACACACACACACACACACACACACACACACACACACACACACACACACACTACACACACACACACACACACACACACACACACACACACACACACACACACACACACACACACACACACACACACACACACACACACACACACACACACACACACACACACACACACACACACACACACACACACACACACACACACTCACACACACTCACACTCACACTCACACTCTCTCTCTCTCTCTCTGCCTTCCACGTTTGACCTTGTTTCTCCGGACTATATCTTACTGCTGTCAGCTAACCGTGACCCCGTGACATATCGAACACACATAAATAAAAAAAGCGGTTCAATTTCCCTCTCTGTTCTTCTGGAAATCTACACCGGCTTCGGTCTGTAATCAATGTACCGCATTGCTACACCATTGCATTGTTTCAAGGCACAAATCTTGCCCAGCCTGATCTGAAGAATCTTGGCAGGCAGGCAGGCAGGATGGGTCATGACATGAATCCTGATCATTAAGTGCTCATTACATCCCTTTTATCAGACAGAGGTGTTAGCAAGATAGCCTTCAGACTCTCTTATAGCACAGTGACAACTGGCAAGTGAAAGGCAAAGTAGCAGGAATTGATACTATAACTGGGGATTTTTGCCCAATTAAACGGACATAGATGTTAGCAGTTAGCATTCAAACTCAAGATTATTGTACACCTTGTAGCATAGTGGCAACTGGCGTGTGAAAGGCAAAGTCAAAGCATCTGAAATTGGCTTTTTATTCTACTTGTAAATGGAAATTATTGCACAGAGGGAGATGCTAACAGGTTAGCATAAACTCATCATCTTGTGCAGCTTTTAGCAAAATAGCAACTGAGATTATTGCCCAATTTATCGGATGAAAATGTTAGCAGTTAGCATGAAAACTCAAGAGTATTGTGCACCTTATAGCACAGTGAAATACAAAGGTTTGGTCATGACTATATACTGATAAATGACTGGTGAGTATTGTGCACCCCATAGCACAGTAACAACGTTGGGGGTGAAATGCAAAGTAAAAGTAGCTGTAATTGGCTAGCAGAGGTTAGCACATCAACTCAGCATCTTGTGCATATTTTAGTGAAGTTAACCGAGTTTATTGCCCAATTAATTGGACATAAATGTTCCCAGTTAGCATGCAAACTCAAGGGTATTGTGCACCTTGTAGCACAGTGCAATGCAAAGGTTGGGTCATGACTATATACTGATACGTGATAGCTGCCCTTTTAGCAAAGAGACTCAGAGTTTGGTGTATTTGAAGCTAATGCTCCAGCACTTCAAATGCTTTTTGAAAGGGAATGTACTTGCAGGTTTCTTGTCTGATTGCACTTAGCTTTGGGTAAATGCAATCTAATGTATGTGAAGGAGTAGCAGTGGTTAGCCACCTAGCATGTTAGCATATACACAGCATCTTGTGCACCTTATAGCCAAGTAGCAACTGAGATTAGCAGTTAGCATGATGCACCTTATAGCACAGTGAAAGGCAAAGGATGGGTCATGACTATATTCTGTTTGGTTTATTTGAAGCTAATGTACCAGCAATTATAAATAGCTTTTTGTAAGGGGATGTACTTGCAGATTTCTTGCTATTCTGAGTTTGTATCTATATGTGTGATTGCACCTACAGTATGTCGCTTTGGGTAAATGTAATGTGATGTAATGTGAAGGAGTAGCAGTAATTGGATACCTAAAACTAGTGATAATTGCCCTTTAGTCGGACATACTCAGAGTATTTTGCACCTTAGAGCACAGCAGCATTTGGTTCATTTGAAGCTAATGCACCAGCATATAAAATGGCTTATTGAGAGGGATGTACTTGCAGGTTCGTGCTCTTCTGAGTTTGTATATTTATGTATGGCTGATTGCACATATTGTGAGTATAATGTAATGTGAAGGAGTAGCAGTAATTCGCTACCCCTCCTTGATAAATCTATTATGCTTTGCAGTAAAGGTGGAAACACAGAGAGGCACTGCAGGGGGAATGGTGACTCAAATACAGGCCACGTTATCAATAAGGGTTACCTAGCTTTAAAATACTGATATATATATCAACAAGGAGCCAAAATAAGATAATACGCAACCCCTTTTTTCGCACCTTGATGCTAAAGCTACGTATGCTGTTGTTGACGAAGCCCAAGACCTGTATGGTAAAGAAAAATGTCGTAAAAAATAATAATGTGACATAAAAACAACAAAGAGGATATTTGATGAGATGGAAAGCAGTACAAGGAGAGCTGTGTTACCTGTTATCCGTCGCATAGGTCTGTGTAGGCGGATAAAGCTCCCGTTTAGCCTCCGTCTTCTCCACTTTCTTTACGTTAGCTAGCAAGTCGGCTAAAGTGATACAGCCCGCTCGCGACCCACGGAAAGAACAGAGAGAAAAAGCCTCGCGCACAACGCCGGGTGCCAAACACCATTACACCCGGAAGTAAATAAGCTTTTTTTAATCTAAGCTGTATTTTTCTTTCACTGCCATGTGATTCCAGGTCCGAGAGAAAAGTTTTATCTCGTTTTATTTTGGCTTTCACAGTATAAGGACCAACCGGTGATGTCGATACATTGCCACCCCTTTGCACACGCCCCCCCCCAAGAGAGAGAGGGGCGACACCCACAATGAACAAAGACCAAATGCAATATTTAGTCGTTTCTTTAACAGAAAGACGCATTAATAAACAGTACTGTAAATGCACCAGTGAGTCGAGAGGCTGTTGTTGTCTGTTATATCTGGGCAACTCAGATGTTTGAAGGTTGCCCTAAAAACGCATTATAATATTGCAAAGTATATAATAAAATAACATTAATAAAACAAATATTATGATTATTAATATGCATGTATACGTAGGCCTATATTTTTTTCCTTTTTTATATATTTGTATTTTATATATATTTTATTTTATTAAATTAATATTTTGTTTATATATACAATTTTGCTGTCATATTATTATTATATTCATTATGCATGACCATATACATGTATAAACAATTTTTTTATTTGCTTTGAAAGTCTTCATTTATTACTACTTAATTTATTCATTTTTATTTATTTTTCATATCATTACCATATAGATACAAAAAACTGCATTTGAATTTAAGGACAACGATGGCATGTTTTTTGGTTTTGTTTTACCTATACTGCCAGTGCCAGAGTAGTATAAGTATATATGTATAAACCTCAAAAGTCAATACATTTTCCTCCACTAAATGTATTTAATCCCTTTAGTTACTTTACAGATGTGGATGAATGATGTGAAATATAATCAAGTGTTAAATCAGACTTTAGTTCCACCTGGAGTAAATCCACCAGCTACCCTGCAGTATACAAAGTCATTCAAACTAGCTGCTCCTTTACCAGCTTTGAGAACACTTTCATGATCAATCATTATAAAACACATCATATATATTATTCTGAAATGGACCAATCTGCACAATGACTACTTTTACTGTCGCTACTTTCACTATATTTTGATGATAATACTTTTCTACTTTCACTTGAGGAACATTTTGAATGCAGGACTTTTACTGTAACAGAGTATTCCTACACTCTGGTACTTCTACTTTTACTCAAGTACAAGATCTGAGTACTTCTACTTTTACTCAAGTACAAGATCTGAGTACTTCTACTTTTACTCAAGAACAAGATCTGAGTACTTGTACTTTTACTCAAGTACAAGATCTACTTCTACTTTTACTCAAGAACAAGATCCGAGTACTTGTACTTTTACTCAAGTACAAGATCTGAGTACTTCTACTTCTCCACCTCTGTTATAATGCAACGTAGTGAAACAAATTTGAGGTTGGATTAACTTGTCTGACGAGCTGCTGCGAGCTGATCATATATACGTCTGAAGTTGTAACACGTGTGTGTGTGCCTCTGGCTGCAGCTAGCCGGATGTGTGTGTGTGTGTGTGTGTGTGTGTGTGTGTGTGTGTGTGTGTGTGTGTGTGTGTGTGTGTGTGTGTGTGTGTGTGTGTGTGTGTTTGCACAGTAACATAAGATGGCTCTGCATTATCACTGTTCAAGGTCAAGGTGACTTTCATTAAGATAGTGGTCGTTTGTTTACACTTGTCATAAACTTTGGCTATGCTTTTAGTTTTTTATCTAAATCCATGTTGTTTTTGCATTGTTGGGTACTGCTAAGCAATTAGTAGCCTGCATTTATATTATGTAATAGTAGCATATTAGCCCGGCTAATCTCGTTTTTCAGTAATACAGTGAGCTTTTTGTTGTTTGAGGTGTCAAACGTGCTCTAAACAGTCCTTGGAGCTCCTGTTCTGTGCGATATTGTCAGTATAAACGCATATAAATAACGTTTTCTGTGGTGTTTAAAACAAGTATCAGCCGATGTGTACAAGGCAAGAGCGGCTTCTATTTATATCCATTTCATAGTTTCATATCCCAGCAGCGATGCAAATTCTTTGTTGCAAAACTTGTTCTAATAAAGGTTTGAATAATTATGCGCATGGGTATTATTCAGAAAGAAATTATGATGTAGTATCAAAATGCTCTTTGAGTTTCTTACTGCTGTATGTCAAGGGTTTCTATTATGATGCTTTTTTGGAGTGTGAAAACAAACCCAAACTGTACCTTGTTTCATGGAATATAACAAGTGTTTCTGAAATAAATTACATACCCCACCTTTAAGTAGCCTATTCATAAGATGGACTTTTATTAATCCCTCGTGGGGAAATTGTTTCTCTGCATTTGACCCATCCTAGTGTTAGCAGCAGTGTGCTGCCATTTTGAACTGCGCACGGGGAGCAGTGTGGGGAACGGTGCCTTGCTCAGGGACACCTCGGTAGCACTTTGGTCTTGCCAGGACTTGAACTGGTGACCCTCCAGTTGCCAAGCCAAGTCCCTATCGACTTCGCCACCACCGCCCTATCATGACATATTTAACTGCGAATAAACAGCTTTAAAAAACACCCCAAATGCAAAAACTCCTACACAAGTACAGTGGTATATTCCTTTCAATAACAGAGTAACTCCATCCTTCTGCTGCACAAGTTTGATATCACAATGAGGAAGTTATTATCTTTTGTCTTGGTTTGAAAGGTAGATTAGGAGCAATTGTGTGTAGCCTATCCCAGAGTTTTACACTGCAGGAAAAGGCCTTCCATCACCAATTGGCTTTTGACTCTGTGAGAGAAAACGTGAACTCATGTGTGAACTTTGCTGTGATGGTAGGCTACTGTAGTGTACAAACGTGATTGACAGCGTCCTGATAAGTCGTTTTTATTTTAGGAGGGGGGGGTTGTTCTTTGTCATGTGATCTGCTGAGTCAAGGTTGTCCGTCTGGTTCCACTGCTAACAGCGTAGCAGGATGTTTTTTTTGCCTATGTTCACGTACAGGTCTGTATAGAAATAGAAACCTGTATAATTGTTTTGTTCACTCTGTGTTTTATTGGTAGCCTTGGGCTTATATTGTGTGTCATCCCAGAGCTCAGTGCTAGGTGAAAACACACACAATGACTTCCATTTGATAGTTACAAAGGTATTGGTTTTTATTGAATTGAAAATGAATCACTGTGTTTGGGTTTGTTGTAACAAAGAGAGAGTGAGAACTGGATCGTGCCCTCTATTAAAGGAGTGAGTGAGTCAGAAACAAGCGTAGAAATCAGACAGAGAGACAGACAGAGAGGAGCAGGAATGAATCCATAGACACAAAAAGGAGTTAGCATTTTACCACTTCTGGTTCCCTCTTCTCAAAAGTTTTTTCGGTTAAGTTATAAAGTAAAAAGCCTGAAATAAAGTATGTTTCACGCCGAACATTAGCCGCCTTTAGCTTAGCGGTGGTGACGTGAAGTCATGTGACCGTGCTGTAGTTCCTTTAGAGCCCAACATTAGCCGCCTTTAGCTTAGCGGTGGTGACGTGAAGTCATGTGACCGTGCTGTAGTTCCTTTATAGCCCAACATTAGCCTCCTTTAGCTTAGTGGTGGTGACGTGAAGTCATGTGACCGTGCTGTAGTTCCTTTATAGCCCAACATTAGCCTCCTTTAGCTTAGCGGTGGTGACGTGAAGTCATGTGACCGTGCTGTAGTTCTTTTATAGCCCAACATTAGCCTCCTTTAGCTTAGTGGTGGTGACGTGAAGTCATGCAACCCAGTCTCACGGCATTTCGTGTTATAGTCACAACATTTAATCTATTGATTCGTGTTCACCAACACAATTTTTCCCTTTTCTTCGTGTCACACAGAACGATTTTAAAAGCAATGTATTTCTATTAGTAGTATGTTTCGTGCCTGCAACACGTCTTTTTGTCCGGTCGGGTCTTGGAAGACCGGAAGCTGTGTGGTTCATAAAAACATCTTCTTACTCAATATCAAGATTATTGTTTTGATTTTAAATCGTATAATGTCGGACTTTTTTTGCCGTCCACGAGGAAAATAAATGGGGCTCAGAGCCTTAGAATACTGAAATATCAAATATTTAAAAAATACAGATTTCAGTATTCTGAGGCTCTGTGCCCCATTTATTTTCCTCACGGACAGCAACAAAAAGTCCGACATTATACGATTTAAAATAATATTGGCTTGATATTGAGTAAGAAGATGTTTTTATGAACCACACAGCTTCCGGTCTTCCAAGACCCGACCGGACAAAAATACGTGTTGCAGGCACGAAACACACTACCAATAGAAATACATTGCTTTAATCGTTCTGTGTGACACGAAAAAAAGGGGAAAATCGTGTAGATGAACATGAATCAATAGATTAAATGTCGTGACTATAACACGAAATGCCGTGAGACTGGGTTGAGTCATGTAACCGTGCTGTAGTTCCTATAGCCCAACATTAGCCACCTTTAGCTTAGCGGTGGTGAGGTGAAGTCATGTGACCAGAATGTGGTTCCTTTATAGCCTAGCGTTAGCTTTTTACTCCTGGTGATTACATTAAAGAGGACCTATCATGCAAAATGCACTTTGTGATGTCTTTTATACATACATATGTGTCCCCGGTGCGTCGGGGAACTCACGCAGCGTCAGAAAATAAAACCCATGATCTGTTTGGTATTTTGAAAAAAAAAAGTATAAATATACCTTATATAGGTATGGTATGGCCCTACAATATTCAAATATAGCATGATCCACTTTAAGCCTTCAAAAGTCCTAAAAGTGTGTTTATATGTAGAGATTATCCTGCTGATCAAAACGTGGAAGTATCGTAAAGGTGCGTTTGGAACAATCCAATGAAAACAATCCTATTGGGGACTAAAGGGAACTAAGTAGATACCAATTTCTGGATCATCCCATAAAAAAAATACATGAAGCCTGCAATTCTCACTACTGGTACAACCAAATGCAACCTTAGAAATTAATGCAATTTGCTGCAGGAGACCTTCAAGGCTTTATGGCTTTATATAACATCCACAATTATAATTAGATTGTGAGATAAAATCCAAGACACATTTAGAGAAGATAATTCAAATTGAATGTGAAATTTGAAAGCAGAGACATACAACAGGCATTGTGAAGGTGTGGGAAAGCAAACTGACATGGGTGTTTATGTTGATACAAAGAGTGGGTATATACAGGATGAATCTAATCCTCTCTCTAACAATGGA